CGTGAGCGAGAAGGGGGCGAAAGTGGTCTATGGGGCAGGGGGTTGCGAGGGCGGGCGGGCGCGCGCTCACCTGCTCCGCGGCCCCAAGGCTCCGGCTGGAACCCGGAAGCGCAGCGCTGCCGAGCGCGCGCCGCCCCGCCCGCGTGACCCGAGTCGGCCGTGGGCGGGCGGGGCGGTGGCTCCGGCTGGGGCTGCGCTGGGTTGCGCAGGGCTCGGTCTGGGCGGCGATGGAAACTCTTCGCACCGGGGTGTTACCTCGAAATCTCAGTTTTGCAACCCGGAAATGGGCGGAGGGAGCCTGCAGCTGTGCGGGGGTGCGAGTGTCTAGAGACATGGCGGGGGAGCTGGGGGGGGTAGGGCTGAGGGGTGCAGGGGCAGCAGGTTTGTATAATTTTTGGTGCTGCCCAGAACGGGTCCAAGTCCTGTATCCCTTCCCCGCCCCCCCCCCCGGCCTGTGGGCTCTGGGAGGGAGTTTGGGTGCAGGAGGGGGCTTGGCTGGGGCAGAGGGTTGGGGTGTAGGAGGGGTGCAGGGGTGGGCTCTGGGAGGGAGTTTGGGGTGGACTCTGGGCAGGGACAGGGGTATAGGAGGAGGTGCGGGCTCTGGGAGGGTTTGGGTGTGGGGTGCAGGCTCTGGGCTGGGGGTTGGGGTGCAGGAGGGGGTGAGGGGTGCGGCACTTACCTAGGGCAGGTCCCGAAAGCGACCCGCACACCCCTCTGGCAGTGTCTCCTAGGCAGGAGTTGCAGAGAGTCTCCGCGCGCCACTGGCTGCAGGCATTGCCCCTGCTGCTCCCATTGGCCACAGTTCCAATGGCAGAGTTGGCACTCGGGGCAGGGGCAGCATGCAGAGACACCTTAGGGCGTGCCAGCCACTTCCGGGAGAGGCATGCCGCATAGAGCGAGGGCGGGCAGGAAGCCGCTTTAGCCCCGCTGCTCTGCTGGTGGGGTGGGGTGGGGTGGGGGCAGAAGGTGGGGCTGAGGAGAGACCCAGCCCTGAACATTGCGCTTTGCTACACAAAATGTTAAATTACTTTGAAAAATCAGAGGAGGTGACTTAAGTTGGAAATCCGGTCTTGGAGGCACTCAAAACTAGCAGCACTAACAATGGTGGGGTGATCAACTGGGGCTTTTCCATCCACATTTTTATTTAGTAAATTGCCATTTTGCGTTCCCCTTTGTTGTGATTGTTCAGCCAGTTGTCAAACCCAATGTCACTGCTTGTCCCTGAAGCTATTGGTATGTGTGACGCAGACGTGTCCAGGCAGGTATGGTCCTGTGTGAGACCAACCATCTGCTCAGTATTTCACCAAAGGGGGCCATGGTAGCTCTGTCAAAAGCAAAGAACGAGCTGATTGTCGTGGTTATTGGGAGAGGTTTTGATGGGAAATAATTTAAGAAATATGTAAAATATAGAATATTAGCTTTCAAAACTATTAAAGTGAGGCTTGTCACCAGAGGCAAGGTGCGGTCTCAGATGCTGAGAAGAATGGACATCCATGGAGCCAGCCATGTTTGCTATCTGAACCAGGTGTAGGCTTGAGGATTTACAAAGACAAAAGAATCCCAAGAAAAGTCTCTGAAACAGGGACCTCTGGCTGGGTAAGAGACAGTGGCCTGTAATTGTATAAGAGATGAAGAAAGAACACAGATTATTATCCGTTACTGAGGAGAAACTCTGCCAGCGGCAGTGTCTCATGAAAGGTAGATGCCAGCATTCTAGACTGAACCAGGACTGACCATTGGGTGAGAGAGAGACCTTATTAGACAGGAAAGTAACTTCTTAATAACTATAGGCTATAGATTGCATGGTATGTTTTGCTTTCACCTGTAACTACACCTTCCAAACCCTTACATTTGCTTTTATTTGAATCTCAACCCCACACTGTAAAATAAAGTTCAGTTTGTTTTTTTCTGTAGATGTGTCTATGTGCTAAAGAGTGTTAAAGTGAAGTGAAAGCAGTGAGCTGGGGTGCACTGCTTCCATAGAGCCAGCGGATTGGTGTACATTGCGGGTGTCCAGTAGCTAAGGGACTGGGCACTCGACTGTAGCAAAGTGGTATGTGTAGCCGGCATTGGGAGAGGGTGAGGCTTGTGTTTCCAGCAGGCGGTAGTTGGGGAGGGTCTCCCCGGGGGGGTAGAGACCAGGCTCATTCCTGCTGTGAGCAGGTGGTGGTGACACCCTAGACACCTAGGGTAATCCCAAAAAGTGTCACCATATGGTTGCAGTAAAACCTAAAGATGGCACCTATCAGTCACTCACCTTGTTTAACCCCCCCAGCTGCTTGCTCCATTAGCCTTGAATGTTATAGGGTTGGGACTCCATTCAGCCCTGGTCACGGTGCATCCCAGAACATCTGCCTGGAACATCTCCATGCAGTGACACATGGTGCCATAACCCCTGCTTCATGGGCAGGCCTCGGAGTTAGCCAACGCAGTGCTCAAAGGGCATGAGCCTGGCCAGGGAGCATATCCCCTGCGAGGGCTCCTGCTTTAAAGCTGCCCTTCCAAGGCTGAGCCCCTGCAAACTGCCTGCTTGTCCCAGGGGCTGAGCGCATTCACTCCCTCCACTGTCACATGGAGGCACTATTTGCAAGCCCTGTGCTAGGAGAGAATCAAGCCCTGTTCTCTCATGGCTAGTAAGCCCCTGTGTATAGGGGATGGGCGTGTAAGAAGGGGCAGCGCAGCGGCAGGTCTTCCAGAGGAATGCCATGGGCTGGGGGGATTGCATGCTGGGATAGGAGCTCTGCTTCCCTTTCACAGAGCACAGCATGTGCTCAGGTTAGCGGCCTAGGACAGAGGTGGGGAGTGCAGAGGTATTTCCCTGCCCCCATCAGAAGAGGCTGGAGCTACTGGCAGGATAGTTTAATAGAGTGCCTATGCCCCCAACCACAAGTGCACTGTGCTCCCTTCCCCATGCACTGGGGCAGGGCCGGGCCCCGTACAGTTCCTCGGTCTCATTCCTAGGGATTGAATTCTCCATGGCTTTTCCAAAGCAATCAGGATTGGGTCGGTAAGGTTCATTAGCTAATTCCCCCCTTAACAGCAGGGGCTCCATGGAAGAAAGTGTCGCCTTGTGGTGACGGACACAGAAGATCTGGGTCAAGTTCCCAGCTTCATCACAGGCTCCTTGTGTTATGTTGGGGAAATCATTTAATGTCTTGAGCCCTAGCTCCCCCTCTGTACCGAGGATGAGAACGTTACCTTCCCGCCCTTGGGATGAGCAATCCATTAATGCTTGTGAGACCTCTGGCACTACAATGCTACTATGCAGCAGTAGGGAACCAACAGCCAGGCTAAGGGAGTTTTATAGGATCTTAGTTTCTAAATTGCCCTTTGTAAGTGTTTCCTCAAAACACCTGTTTTGACCGGGCCTCCAACAATCTCAGTTTAGCCAGATCTCTCTTCTTCTTGGCCAGACCTTTCTTCTTGTGAATGACCAATTTCAAGCCAGTGCAGCCTCCCAGACATTTCAGTCATCACTCATGGATTAATGAACCTGCTCTCTCTCTCTAGCTGGCTGACGGAAGAAGGCCTGTGCTCAACTTGATGGCATTTCTCTGTCTGTTTGGACGTAATACAATCACATTTGAACGCTTACAGGATCAACTCCAATATTTCAGGGTATCTATGGGCAGAACCCTATTCATTTTGGTGACAATTAGAAAACAGCAGAGGGACGGGGGGACACTTGGGGCCCCTGGCAGTGGATTAGCAGACCCATTGCCTTTAGCCAGGGCTGTAATTCACTACAGATCAAAGAACTGGTTGATGGCAGCCATTAACACCTTCCAGCATAACCGAGCCCCCCCATCTCAGTTGTCACAGTAGGGTTAAAAGTGGTGACACCTTAAATAATTTATCTCCCAGGCAGGAAGAAAAGAAATAATAATGGTGAGGGAGAAGTGGGGAATGGAAAGGCCTGGCAGGGAAGGGGGATACAGAGAGCCTCTGGCATGGGGGGGAAGAAAGGGAGACCCTGGTAGGGAGAATGGGGGAGCACACAGAGTCTTTGGCATGGGGGAGAGAAGGGGTGACCCTGGTAGGGGGGCACACAGAGCCCCTGGCATAGGGGGAATGGGGCAGTACACAGAGCTCTGGCATGGAGGAAGAGAATGCAGGACCATGGTATGGGGGGATGGGGGACACATAGGGTATGTCTACACAGGGAAGAAAAATCCGCAGCTGACCCACATCAGCCAACTCGGGCTCACAGAGCTGTTTCATTGCTGTGTCGACTTTGTTCAGGCTGGAGCCCAAGCTCTGGGACCCTCCCAGCTCGCAGGGTTAACACTAAGCCCACACTTGTTCTGTGAAAAAGTATGCATTTTAATCATCAGTTCCGAAGGCAACAGAAGGGATGGCTTCCCGTTTTATCTATGTAACATAGAGCAACATTATAACTTTATACAGTACTCTTGATATACAGCAGTATTCACAAAAGTACAAGTTAGTAGCTTTCTTTGCTGGACGACCACTCATATTGTCTTCTAAATAGAAAAAGACAAACATGGAAAGATTACAAAAGTTTCTGGCTAGCTACAAGAAAAGCTGGGTTTTCATTTAATGCATAGCAATATTTTCTTCCTTCTATTACCTAAATATCAGAGTATGACACGGTGCTGCCACTACGGGAGACTAGAAACTGTTCAGCTCCTTTCAGCAGTGCTGCGTAAGGGCTTTGCTGGATCAGAGCTACAGCTCAAGTTGTGTACACCACTGAGAGTAAACGAGAGATCTCGCAGGCCTCTGCCCTAGCCAGCCGAAAGCAGGCGTAACTGAACAACTGCTCATATACATCTAGCAGCTCAGTGGCTTGTTCTCATCTTTGTAGAAGAGAAAGTCCCATGAAAACCCTTATCTGTTTACTGAGAAGTGGAGATGGAAGCTGAGCGCCGTGGCAACGAGCCAGTTGTAATGACAACCTTTAGATGAAAATGGGTTATCCCCTGAAAAGGACTAAAGCCCCTGTGCTCTGTCCCCACTCACATGAGCAGAGGGGAGGAGCAGCAGCAGCAGCTCGGCATTATGCTCTTCCCTTCTCTCTGATCTCAGGGACGCTTCTGGTCCCACCACATGGGGCTGATGAGGAGCATGAAGGGTTGGCCTGAGGAGATGGCAGTTCTGTGTCGTGTTCTCTCTTCAAGCCCATGGGAGCTCTGGATCACATGTGGAGAGGGGCACTGCAATATGGCTTTGAGGATGGGCAAAGGCAACTGCCCTTGTCCTATGGAGCTGTCCCAAGATGGGCACTCTTCCAGTGCATCATGGGACATCTTCAGGGATGATCTGATGGCAAGTGAGCAAAGGGGAAGTCCCAGAGCCTCCTAGTCCCTGCACGGGTGGGGGATGATGTGGCCCCAAAGCAGGAACTCAAGAGGAAACGCAGTGATAACACTAGGCATTGCTAATATTCCCTGATTTACCTTACATCAGCCCTGTTGAAAATTTCTTCCTCATCCGAAGACTCTCTGTCATATAACTTCTGGGCCATGGATTTTTTCCGTATAGAATCCAGTGGGAGATACATGTCTCTAAGCCAAAGCGGTTTCTCCATACTTGAAGACTCTGATACACCAGGGACCTGGAAGACAGCACAGAGACATTTACGCTGTGCTGTACTGTCAACTACTGGCACAATTGGTAAGTACAGTTATCTGGGCGCATTGACGCTTCTGTCTGTGCTTACCTGATGAATCGCTTCAGAAGAGATTTTGCTATTTCTCTCTTGGGAGAGTTTCTGAAAGGACCTTTGTAAAAAAGAAAATCAAGTAAAGCAAGTTAGTGACTCCTCCGAAATCTCGCTCCCCATGCGCTGTACTACCCTGCTCCAGCTGACACGGCACAATGAGCAGTGGGTTTGGAAGCCAGCCAATTGTCGCTTAAACTGTTGTGACACTTTTGGACTTAATGGATTGGAAATAAAGGGGCTGCAAGGGAGACGGAAAGCCACCAAACATTTTTGTCCCTGAATAATTCCCTCTTTTTAGTGCTTTTACAAACAAGGTTCACCATGGTGCAGCTACAGACAGCCTCAGGTGGCCCTTTCCTGCCAATACGAAAACATCCACTCTTACTGGTATCGTTTCATCCTGAATCTAAAAGACAAACAGCCAAAGCACAGCACAAAGACAGGGCACAACAGCAACCCGCCTCATGTGCCCACGCAGGGGAGCAAGGTGGCATGGGCCACCATAGTGCAGGAGGAGATACAGCCTTGTCAGGCAATGCTTTCCCCCTTGTGTAAGTGGGACTGATGTCACTGACATTACACTGGGGTAATGCAGCAGAGAAGCAAGGCCCAGCTGGTACGAGAAGGCCCTTGCGCAGTGACCTGCCAACGTGGGGCTCCCAGGCCATCAGCTTTGGATGTGACCCAGAGTGTCTGTTCCCATGGCAGTGTGTAGCTGCCTCATTTGTTATCAGAAATTGTCATGCAAACTGTAAGAGGCCAGTCAATTGAGACGAGCTATCATCAGCAGGAGAAAAAAAAGCTTTGAAGTTGGTATGGCTACTTCCACCTTTTCATGTTCTCTGTATGTATAAATATCGTCTTTCTGTGTGTTCCATTCTATGCATCCGATGAAGTGGGCTGTAGCCCATGAAAGCTTTTGCTCAAATAAATGTGTTAGTCTCTAAGGTGCCACAAGTACTCCTGTTCTTTTTGTAACCCCTAGGTCTTTTTCTGCAGAACTGCTGCCTAGCCATTCGGTCCCTAATCTGTAGCAGTGCATGGGATTCTTCTGTCCTAAGTGCAGGACTCTGCACTTGTCCTTGTTGAACCTCATCAGATTTCTTTTGCCCCAATCCTCTAATTTGTCTAGGTCCCTCTGTATCCTATCCCTACCCTCCAGCTTATCTACCACTCCTCCCAGTTTAGTGTCATCTGCAAACTTGCTGAGGGTGCAGTCCACGCCATCCTCCAGATCAGTAATGAAGATATTGAACAAAACTGGCCCCAGGACCGACCCTTGGGGCACTCCACTTGATACTGGCTGCCAACTAGACATGGAGCCATTGATCACATGCTGGTGGCAACAGCTGATTTCCTTTGTTTTCTTTCTCAGCTCTTCCTTGGTGAGGGGGAGGGTGTATGAAAGGGCTTGATGGTACCCCACAGGGAGGAATTCCCAGGTGCGCCTTCCTGGGTTCCAAAGGGTATGTTTTTTTTTGCACTTGGGTGGTGGCAGCATCCACCCATCTAAGGTCAGAGAGAAGCTGTAACCTTGGAAGTTTAATACAAGCCTGGAGTGGCCAGTATTGATTTTTAGAATCCTTGCGAGCCCCCATCTTCTGCACTCGAAGTGCCAGAGTGGGGAATCAGTCCTGATAGGGCCCCACTGCACTGGGCTCTGCACACACACACACAGCACAGAAAGAGCTAGCCATCGGAACAGGCACATGGCATGAGCTGGGGAGAAGGCTAGATGCCAAGCAGTGCGACCAGTGGCAAATGGCAAGGTAGGGCCACCAATAACTTTAAAGGTTTGGGTGGGTTGTGCTGGAAGGGGATGAGCTCACAGAGAGATAAAGGACAGGGAGAAGGCAGTGAGGATGAAGGTGATGTGAGGGAGGGGGGTAGCAGTAGGACTTCTTGCACTTCCCCGCAGAGAGCAATTTGCCACGGGGAAGATCAGCAGCCCTGAGCCCCTTCTCCCGCCTTATAGTGAAATGGTTACCCCCTTGTTGGGGCTGGGAGGCAGATGAAAAGAAGGGCAGAGAAATGGAGGGAAACTGAGGTGGGGCAAAAAGTGGGAGTAAGAAGGTGGGGGCAGATAGAAAGGTCGGGGGAAGTAGAAATGGCGGGGCCAAGAATGGGTGGCGGAGGGCAGAAATGGGAAGCACAGAGTTGGAGGGGCAGATGGGGAAACTTGAAGACGGTTCAGCTCTTGGGCTGAGAGACAGAGATCGGGTGCCTTGGCGTCGGGAGTTGGGGCATGTAGGAGGGAGAGAGCAAGAGGATGGGTCCCCGAACCACTCCTGAGGAAACAGGCTTGCCATCTAGTCCACAGGCCAGGGAATGGAAAATGCAATGGCCCCACCCCCTGGGCAGTGCAAAGCAGCAGATGAGTCCACACTCGTGTGCTTTTCGAAGGGCTCGGGTAGGCAGCTCTGTCTTGTGAACATGGGACACGAGGTTCAGAGCCCTCTGCTTGCCAGCAGTGCCCCAGGCAGAAGCATTGCTAGGATTAAGTGGATGCAATGGGCAAGACTAGGATCCTCCACAGATGCTTGAAGAAGAGAGTCATAGGTGCTATAGGCCTGCTGTACCCATGTGACCCCAGTTATGTCCAACAGGGCACAAGCAGCAAGCAGACAGGCTCAGAAAATTCCTTCTTCCAAGCCCCCTAGATTTCAGTGCTGCACAGCAGAGAGGAGCAACATCTCCTAGAGCCCTTGCAATGAATGATGCTGAAACAATCAAATCGACCAATCCGACCTTCCTTTCATGCTGCTCTGGAGGAGGAACGCGAGTGGATGACGTCTGCTATGTCCTCTCATGCACTTAAAGCAGAGAGGGACACTGTGGCAGGGGAAGCCTGGGTCTCTGAGCACTGATGAGCTGATAAGGGACACCCACAAAAATCCTGTCCTCTACCCTATGGCAAACCCTGGGCCCTAGGAGAGTGTGTGCAACGGGAGGGGCAAGGGAATTAAAACGCTTCTATGACCTGATATGGAGGTGGTACCACTGAGCATCATATCATGAGGGCATTTGCAGGAAAGACTTATTTTTTCCTGAATAAATATGGTAAATAATTGCACAGAGCTAATAAATCACAATATGCATGTGAGCTACACTGGAGCCCCGGGCAAACTACTGCATTATTGAGTATTGGCTAGTGGGGCCTGGGAAGAGACAGAGGCGATAAATTGTTACAGCAAATGGCATAGCTGTCACATGTGATTAATTAATCAATTACTGTGGAGAAGAGCAGCTGGCAAGCTGCTGGTGAGAGGTTTGCAGAGGTCTAAGCTGATTAGTCAGCAGTTGGGATCTCTCACTCTTTGGAGTGTCTTCTCGGTGTTTGCTAAAAGTGAAGCATTTTTTTTTAAATATCCGAGTGGGTGCCTTGTGATTCTCCAACATGCAATATTTGAAAGGTTTGGAACAGTCTAAGATTAGGCATTGTCTAAACGAGAGAAAACAGCTGTCTGTGTTACACAACACTGGCAGGGGAAAAGAGAACAATTACCATTTTGACTGTGTTTTGTTATCATGTGTTGATTGAGAAGATGCTGCAGATCTTTGGGAACAAATCTGCTTAAGAAGAAAAAAAATGACATCAACAACAGCTGCCAGGCATTTTCTCTCTGTATGCTGTACAAAAGAGACACCAAGATACTGGTTATTAAATAGGAGTTAAACAAAAATTTTCTGTCCAAACGATTTTTCACTGGAAAATTGTTCTTTGACTAAACAAAATGTTTCACAAAAAGTGTTTGCTGCAGAAAAGTTAGATTTTTCATTGAAAAACCCAAAACTGAAATACTTTGATTTGAAAATGCTGCCACACTGCCTTGTGATAGTTTTAGTTAGGTTGCCTCATGTCCCTATTCTTCTCAATGGGCTGGTTGCACTAGCTGAACTACCCGTCCCATGATGCACCATGCCAGCAACTCACATGATGCATCACTTCCTCATTCCAAGAGGAGAGATCAGAGTGCATCATGGGACTCTGACCAGGAGTCAAGTCTATAGAAGAGAATGAAAACAAGAGGGAGGAGCCACTACCATCTAGAGCTGGCCACTCTGGTGAAATATCCTTTCATTAAAGCTGAAACCTATCATTTGCATGAAATGTCTCCCCGAAAATTTTTTGGGTTGAGCAAGACAGACAAGTCCTTGCTCAACCTGATTTGAAGTAAGAACAGAATTTGAACCCCTGCCTAGACCAGTACTCTAGCCACCAGGAAAGAGAGAGAGAGAGACAGACACTCTTGGTTTTGTTCTAGCACAGGACACTTTACTGATATAACTAAGCAACAATGTGATGACATCAGAACACTGCTTGTGACGCAGCCCTGATCCTGCAGTCTTCACACAGGCAAAACTGCCATTGACTTCAGTTATTCCTGTCATTTTGGGTGCAATGTTACTATTGCTGTTATTTGCACTCTGGTAGTGCCTAGTGGCTCCACGGTCCTGTTGTGCTGGGCGCTGTCCAAACATCTACTGACAAGACAGTCTCTGCCCCAAATCAAAGGGTCAGAGAGGCGCTGGCTGGACATAACACATGGAAGGGCGGATGTGA